CCCTAAAATCATCTGATTTGAGAGTCATCGGCCTAAAGCCAACTACATGGGTCATCTAAAAAGCTTAATGGAGAGAATGCAAAAAAAAAAAAAGAAAAAAAAAGGCAAGTTCATGAAAAGAGAAAAAGCACCAAATATCTTAGTTAAGTCATAACACTTATTTGACGGCATTTGACTATTGATGCAAGATAATTAGCTAGTCTTAGAGGTCGAAGTAATCAAATAATTAGAGAATCATTGTTCACTGAAGTGTTGACTTGCAACTATTAACATCCACCTAAACTCGAGAGGGTGATGATAGTAATGAAATATTCAACCTTAAATTACACATTGGGAAAGAGTGAAAAAGAACAAGTTTGGGGGTGTGTAAATCTTAAGAGTGATGAAAGGACATATATGACCATTAAGGGTCCGGAATTGGAGCAACTTGTGAATTCATTAATATCTACTTAATTCTTCACGCGCACACGTTGATTTTGCATTGGAAGAGTGAATATTAGTTTGGTGTTGTAACTTTAAAGCATGTTTGTGAAATTAACACTTAAATTTTTGAATCTTGAGATGAGAAGCTAGATTGTCCAACCAAATATTTTTGCATGTTTGTGTGTTTACTGCTATTTAATTTATAGTTTTGTTTGAGGACAAACAAATGTTTAAGTTTGGGGGTATTTGATAAGTGTATTTTATATACTTATTCGGTAACTTAAATAGTGATATTTGATGGTTCTTTCAACAAATTATATTATAAATTTTTGTATTTTATGTTTAATATGTGAAATTTTACGAAGGAAAATGACTTGAAGGAAAGAAGCAAATGTGGGCAAAATTGGAGAAAAGGGCTAAATCGTATGAGAGTCAAAGTTCGGGGACTAAAGTGTAAATATTCAAAAGTTGTGTCAAACCTCAAGATGAAGATCCGAGAGCGTTAGGAGTTAATTGGATGAAGAAAGATGTCAAAGGGTCAAATTTAGGCAAAATATGATCACAAATCAATTTCTAACCGAAAAGTTATGCTCCGAAATCTTAGGCTCATATTGAGACCCTTTTTGATATAGCAAACGATCGAATTGGAGAATAATATTTGAAGTAAAGTTGTATCACTTTGAGTTAGCTTTCCAACACATCTTAAATGGTCTCAATCGGATATTGGGAGAGAAAGTTATGCTAAAAAAACTGAATGAGGTGCTGTCTGTCGGGAAAGTGGCGCCGCTCCAGAGGCGTTAAGGCCTCAATCCATTGATCATCGTGGCGTTTTGGCGCCACATCCCAGACATGTTAGGATGCAATTTCGGTCCTTTTTGAGTCCATATGAAAACCCTATTCTTCCCACACGGCAAGGAACCTATAAATACGAAAATTCTCACAATTTAAGGGATTCACACATTGGGATGCAAGAGACATACTTGGAAATTCAAGAAAATAATTCAAGAGAGAAAAACAGCAAGCAATTCAAGAGTTGAAGCATAAATTGGAAGGGGAAGAGGATCTTGGTTCAAGATTGATTTATTATTCTATATTCTTATTCAAAATCTGGTGATGTCTTCCATAATAACTTGTTTTTCTTTCATTACTACGAGTAGTTAAATCTAATTTTAAAGCGAACAATGTAACCTATTTGGGACCTTTTATTTCTTTTATTCGATATTCTTTTTCGTTATGATTATATGTGTTGATTTTAATCATGTTCCCAATGCTTTGAATTTTCAGGCCAATTATTCAATGATTTCGTGAATAATAATTGTGTAGAGATGGTGATTCTTGTTTAGACCACATATTAAAATTCGATAAATTAATATAACGTGTAGATATACCTATATTAATTGCTATGGTTCTATATGATTTTTTAGAACTATTATTTCGTTTAAATAATGTTGATTTGTATAGAGATATAGAATTGAATTATTCAAATATGTTCAATGAGAACTCGAGAGGGGTAAATTGAATACTATAGAAGAATTAGATCAAACACTACTCTAAATTTTATGAATCTCGATATTAGAAGTAAAGATGACCAATCGGTGAAGTTGTTTCACCCTAATACCCATTTATTATTTGAATTCTCACTCATTTTCGGTTACACTCACGAACTTTTAAGCAGTTAGAATAAAAACCACTTTTAATCATTGTTCTCGTTTATTTTTGTCACATAGAAGTTAGAAATAATAAATTGAGTATTAAAGCATAGTCCTCGTGGAAAAGATAATCCGAACTCAAAATGTCTATTTTACTACGTGTTACGATTCGTCCACTTACGGGATAAAATCGACAACAACACCTTGTAAACCCAAAATTATGGATCGATAGATTTATCTAAGTCGAAATTATAGATTCTAATTGATTAAAAATTCCCATTTCATAAATAAGATACCATATTTAATATTTTACCAATAAGAAATTTTTTAATTAATTAATATATTTAAAAATTAATCTAATAAATAAAAATTTCAAACCCTAATTATTCTCAAAATCCTAATTATTCTCTACTTTCATTTTCCCTTACCCCCGATTCTCTCTCTCTCTCTCTCTCAACTGCCCGCGCGATCGGTGGTGGAAAATCGACGATATAGAGCTGCTCTGTTGCAGTGTTGTCGACCAATGGAGGAGCTATTTCATTGCAGCGTCGACGAACTGGTGGCGATCTGAGGAGATCTCACAATTGGAGGAACTGCCCATTGCGATCTATGGTGGATCTGTGGTGTGTGCGCGATGCGGGGCATGAGGCTATGGTGGTTTTGTGTGAGACGATGGTGGCAGTGTGTGGTGGTATGTGACGATGGTGTGGCGATCTGTACAGATCTCTCTCACCTTTCTCGTGACCAACCGATCTGTGACTATCGTGGATCTATGGTGTTGGTGTGTAGCGAGGATGGGGTGGAGATGATTTGGGGTGGTTGTGGTGGCGAAATTTTTGTTAGATTTGGCGATGGAGTGTATTGTTTAAGGCGATGTGCGGTTCTGTTGGTGGATGCGATGGTTGTGGAAATGGGTGGCGCGTTGGTTGTGTGACTGTGACTCCAATTGTGATTCAAAAATTGAATTCAAGATTTGAAAATCGTGACTGTGACTCCAATAATTGATTAAATTATGATCAAAAAATTAATCATGACCAATTAATCCAATAATTTGTAATTAGGAAATGAGTTGTGACCAATTTGGGAGTTACAGTTGGTCGCGGAGGTGGTCGTGGTGGTAGTGGCAGTTTGGTTGACTTGTAACTCACAATTGGATACGTGACCTAAAAATTGTGATCGCGACTCATAATTGGATACGTGACCCGAAAATCGTGACTGTGAATTGTAAGTGTTGGTGATGGTCACAAATTATTTGGTTGACTGTGACCATTAAATTGGTTAATTTGTGACCAATAAATAATATGTAACCAATAAAAAATAAATTGTGATTGAAATATAATGTGTGACCTAAAAAATTGTTAATCCGTGATCGATAATTTTATAATTTGTGACTGTATAAGAAGTTGAGATTTATAATATTTGTAATTTATGACCAATAAATAAATTGTGACTTATAAATTTTTCGATTTATGAACAATGAACAAATAGTGACCTATAAATTTTTTGAATTGTGATCGTAAAGTAATTTGGGACATAAAATTTCGAATTTGTTATAAAAAAATAATAAGTGAGGAATTAAATCGTTAATTTGTGATCAAATTATATAAATATGTGACTTCAATATATTTAATTACTAAATTAATTAATTAATTAATTAAATGAATGATAAATAAGTTTTAATAAAAATCTAATTTTTACAATTTAAAATTTGTTTTGCCATAATTAATTTCTTACTTGACCCTTTATCTAATTAGTAATGTAACGTTTAGCCCCTCGAGCATAGCACTGCGGTGCAAAGGACAGGAGTGAGGTTATTTCACGTCTTGCTGACAGTCGCAGTATAGGAGTTCGATTTCTGAGATATGGATTGGACTCCTTGTAAGCGCAGTGTACATGCAGTTCTTGTTCCCTGACCTGTTGGGGTACATTTCGAGATTTACCTCTCTCACAAAACTTTAGGGACGAGACGGTGGGGACCTCAATGGGTTCAACCGCTTTTTTTTTTTTTTTTTTTTAAGTAGTTTAAGTCGGGTCTAGACTGACGGCAAATTGGCACAATGCAGACACGAATTTACATGAGAAAAGGGTTGTCCACGGTGATGCTGGGGGATGGACGGTGTATATGGATAAAATTTTTGCAGCAACGAGAAGTATGCTCCCTGTTGCTAGCTCAATTGACAAAAACTGCGATAGGGATGAGTGTGAGATGCTTCGTTACTTTTTCATTGATTAAATAGGCAGGCCGATGGGTCATGGTTTTTGTTGGCTGTTGTCTATATCTAAATTTTTTGTTTGAATAATTAACAGATTGCGTGAAGGATGCGGAGTATATTTTGAATTATTGTAGACGTAATTGGCTTCCAGCTTGCTTCAGCGTATTATTGGCATTATGGGACCCTTAACATTTGGCGTATTTTTCAAATTTCTTGACATTTATTTTGTTTGATATATATCCAGATTTATTTTAATTGATTATTTATTGTTGTGATTTCAGGTTCTTTTGACTATCTTCATTTTCCGTGCACATATTAATTTGGAAATTGGTATAATCAACTGCAAATCTGATGTGTGTGCCTCAAGTGGAGCATTTCATTACAATGTTTACTGGGTGAGTTTAGCAAATCCTAGACTAGCATCTAATGAATTGAGTGATTTCTATTTTTATTTTAGGAAATCCGTAATTCATTTCCTTCTAGTTTTGGACATTTGTTGTTAATACTAGAATTCATTTCAATAAGAAAAATAAATAAATAAAATTGATAATTACATTATCTACTGTAAAAAAGCGAATAGAAAGGGGGAAAGGGAAAGTTGAGATGGGTCCCGGAGAGAGGTAGGGTAGATGAAGAAGACAAGGCTGTGAAACAGTGGAAGAAGCATATTTTTCGAAAGGAATAAAATTCAGATTGCGGTGAAAAAGAGGTGCTTCAAATGGAAAATTTTATGTACCAGAGTTTTCCATTTTGACTATAAACAAAACGAGGCGTTTCAAATCGAAGACATTTTGGACCAACGCTTAGTTTCTCATATTCAAACTATGTATCAATTCCTTGATAGTGGGATCTTGTTTGTAGCCATATAAGGTTAAAATCTCTGCTGAATCACTAGCAATTCCTCTGTTTATCCATGGAGAACCTAAACTATTATCTTCTTGTCTTAACTATAATTTTCTTCATCATATTGAAATATCTTATATTTTATCCTCACCAAAAATCACCACCAAGTCCACTAGCATTTCCAATTATTGGCCATCTTCACCTTATCAGAAATTCCCTCCACCAATCACTAGCTGCACTATCATCCCGATATGGTCCGATTCTTTCTCTCAGGTTTGGATGCAGGTCGTTTGTGGTGATTTCTTCTCCATCTGCCATAGAAGAATGCTTCACGAAAAACGACATAGTATTTGCCAATCGACCTCAGTGCATGGCTGGTGACCGGCTGACATACAATTATGCCGCCTTGGCATGGTCACCATATGGCCATTTCTGGAGGATCCTCCGCCGTGTAACCACCGTTGAACTTTTCTCTTCACATAGCCTCCAAAAGTCAGCGAAAATACGTGAAGAAGAATTACAATCCCTTCTTCGTTTCTTGTTTAAAAGCTCGAAGGATGGAAGTCAAAGAGTTCATTTGAATTATTTGGTTTCTGTTTTCTCTTTCAATGTTATGAAGAGAGTTATTGCTGGAAAACGGTATGTTGGAGAGGAAGAAGTTGGAACTGAAGTGGGAAAACAGATCATAAAAGAAATTAGGGGAATTTTCTTTTCAAGTCTGTCCCTTAGCGTGTGTGATTTTTTTCCTGTGTTGAGGTGGGTTGGTTACAAGGGCCTGGAAAAAAATATGATGTCACTGCAAAAAAAGAGAGATGCTTACTTTAATGTTTTGATAGATGAGGTTAAAGGGAATGACATTAGGTTTTCTAATTCGATGCCGGGGAAAAACACTTTGATTGAAACTATGTTGTCTCTTCAGGAATCAGAACCTGATTTATACTCTGATGATGTTATCAAAAGTACTATACTGGTAAGTAATTTATGGCACATCTTATGTTTTTTTGTTCCTTCATCTGTTGTCAAACATCTTCCATTGAGTCTATGATCCCATCAGCATTGTTTTCACAAGCGCAGCATTATATACAAATGTTTTATGTAAAGAAAACTTATTACAATCACTGAAATTAGCTTTAAAAGAAGAGTATTCAAGTGCTTAAAATACCACAAGTTAAGCTTTAACTCAACAAAATGATACTCGATTAGAGTCATAACAATCGAGTCCTTTTAGAATTGATATCCACAAGAATTGACATTTGAAGCTTGGCGACTTCTGCTAATCCTGCCTTTAATAAGAACTTCCTGAGGTCGGAGGTCTGTGTGCAAAGGTCAATCCTAGAATGCTACTTGTTATTACAAAATTTGTGGGGGCATTTTGCTTTTCATGAGAAATTGAAAATGTTTCAGAAATAATGAGTAGAAGGTCTTGACATATCAATCAGATTTTGCTAAGAATTTGTCTAACAAAAGTACCTCCTGCTGTTTAGGTATTGTTTGTAGCAGGAACAGAAACCTCAGCAGCCACAATAGAATGGGCTATGTCACTCCTCTTAGATCACCCGGAGGCATTACATAGGCTGAGAAAAGAGATTGACAACATTGTTGGGCATGGGCGCTTGCTAAATGACTCTGATCTTGCTAAACTCCCCTTTCTACGTTGCGTTGTAAACGAGACACTAAGACTGTACCCTCCAGTGCCACTTCTTTTACCTCACAGTTCATCAGAAGATTGCATTGTAGGGGGGTATAAAATTCCTAAAGACACAATCTTGTTGGTGAATGCTTGGGCTATGCACAGGGATCCAAAGGTGTGGGATAAGCCTGAACGGTTCAAGCCAGAGAGATTTGAGGGAATCGAAGTGGAAAGAGAAGGCTTCAAATTTGTGCCTTTTGGAACGGGGAGGAGAGCCTGCCCTGGTGCTGGTATGGGTTTGCGAACTGTTTCATTGGCTTTAGGTGCGTTTGTGCAGTGTTTTGAGTGGGAAAGAGTAGTAGAAAGTGACATGAATATGAACTATAATTCAAAAGTTACCATGCAGAAGGCTACGCCTCTGGAGGCGAAGTGCATTCTCCGGCAACAGTCCGTTTGTCTTCTCTCACAACTTTGAACTAGCAAAAGATCGATATACTTATCACTATAAATAGCCTTTTCTCCAGCCGTTTCCATCGAAGTTGAGCAATCTAACACTGAGCATTATAGTAGTGCATTAGTTTTTTATGTGTTTCATTCCTTCCAGTGCCGAGAGCTAGTTTTTACGACTAGTTGTTCTTTATCCTTCTTTATCTTTGAGAGTATTTGTGTCTTCCTACAAGTGATTCTCACTGTAAAAAATTATGTATTATAGAACCTCTTTTCTTCTGTCTTACCCGTGTTGTGTTCAACATATATAACTATTGTGCATTTTGTCTAGTTTGCGTCAATCGGTTTAATTGGAGAAGTAACTTGCTGCAGGAATATGTAGGAATTTTATAACATAGAGACGAACTTATTTGAAGGGTGTTTTGATTCCTATTTTTCCTAAAATACATTTTTTTTCTCTTTTTTCTTTTCAACTATACACTATTCATTAAAATAATATTACACTCAAATTAAAATTTTTTTATTCCTTTTTAATCATTCATTCTTCGTCAATCTACTTTTCAAAAATACATTCTTAAAAAATAATGAGGCTCAAAGATTTTCCTATTTCATTCTTCTATCAATTAGCCCCCATTTGGTTCCCATTCTTTGGGTATAAAAATGAAAAATATGATCGTTATCCATCACATCTAACCACCATATTTGACTTTCTCTCTTGTATGGATTTCATAACGGTGCTATTTTTCATTTTCATTCTTACAAAGATTGATACCAAACTGGGCCTTAGTCACTGTTGTAAGTAGTAGAGAATAAATAAAAGTAATGATGCTGTTATATTGTATCAATTTGGTGTGATCAAGCAAGTAGGTATCATCTTATCTTGTTTTGTATTTTTGGTCAGGCGTGGGCCTAGTGATAGCGTGTATCTTGTCTTGCTCTTATTTCTACAAATTCATTCAGATGGACGCATGAATGGGGTAATTTTTAAAAAGGCTGGAAAATTGTTCCTTTTTTTTTCACAATGGCCTCTTTTATTAAAAATACTATTTTGCCCTTACTATAGTTATTTGCAAGATATATCTTATATCTTTAAGGATTTATCAATCAGGACCTATATCTATATTTTTCAACCTTTCAAACACCTTTAAATATTCTTTGTATCTTGATAGTTCTTCAAAGATTATAAGTTGACCTTTCTTGGTTATATATCCTCGAACTAATCCTTCTAAGATTTCTTCTTGTATATTTCTATGTTTGGTTATGATATCTTCTACCTTTCTTATCTCTCTACTAGTTCCTACAGAATCAAATCTTATATTATTTCTACAATTATAATCTATATCTCTATATATTTCTTCAATTTTTTCTTTACCAACAGGAAATATATCTTCAGATTTTTCATCTAATTTAAATAAAAACGAAATATCTTTTTCATCTAAAAATAAAATAAGATTATTATCATCATTAGTAGTGGAAGTGGATGTTTGTGAATTGTTCATCAGAATAATTAAAGCATAAGCATGTAAGAACAAGTAAATAACTTACAGTAATCAAATGGAAGAAAACAGGCTTTCTCTTTAGTATGCTCTTATAGATGCTTTGCATGTACTTAATCAATTTTTTGAATCAAGTAAAGATTAAAATATTTTTTGAAATCATTTGGGTCCACAACTGCTTCCGCAAAAGGCTTTTCAATTAAGGTTGCTTTTTTCATTCTAGAGAACTAGTCGTGTTTCCACAGACGCTATCTCACAGTATCCAGAGTCTCTGTTTTCACCTCTATCCAAACTCTTTTCAGAATCAAGTTCCTACTTGGAACGAAATTTTAAAAGATAACTCACACACAAGGTGCTACAAGTTTTGTTAGAAAACTGTCATTTTCCCCTAAATCATTCATCAAAGATGGGTACTTTGGCATGACTAACATCCATTCAAAATCAATATTTTGAAAATTTTTGAAAATCTCTATCTGTTTTGCCGAGGAATCATGAGAAACTTAACGAAATCCTTTTATGAAAGCTTTGTTGAACAAACTTTAATTTGATATTCATAAACTGAAATTGTACATGCTTACAAACTATATTTACATACCTTTGGTACCCACCTTATGAAGTTTAGAACTTCATAAGTGATTACCTTATTACACGTTTTACTATCTTCAAACTATCTAATATTTTTCTGAATACAAGTGATGTATACAGATTACAAAAGATATATCTCTAAGATGTGTTTCCTCCAAGTGTTTAAGAGATAAGTTATTTCAAAATATCTTCCTTCTTCCTCCTTGCCTCCTTTTATAGAAGCCTTTGAGAATCTTATCTTGACAGGTGTTTTCCACCTTTCTTTGTTGGGTAGTAAAGCCATCTTATCTCCACCGAATTTTTCATTATCTTTTTGCAAAATGGATCTCTCCTTTTGAAATTATATGCCTTATCTTTTGAGTTTGTCTGCCACTTGTGACAATTGGTGGGGAGTAGTCACTATTATGGAGACTTTTCTTGCAATATCTTCTATCTTTTAGTAGCCACAGTTTTTCTTTAATAAATTTCTTTATTAAAGTAGTGATAAAGGGTTACTTTTGTCACCATCACTTTTTCATTTTCGAATCAAAGAATTATGTAGGGAATTTTTCACTATTAAGAGATGCTTGACTCATATTTTCAACTACACAGTATTTACAATGGTGATCACTGTAATTCCAGAGTAATTTGCATAGTTCTTTAGCCATATCTTCTGAGCCATGCACTTGGTTGGAAATAATTGCAGATAATAAATGGTCGAAATAACAAATATCTTCTTCCTTGGTAGCCATCCTTGCATTGGAATAGATAATATGATCTTCAGATGGATAAACCCATAATTTTTCTTTTTCAGTAATTATCTGAGTTACATGTTCAAATATCTCTTTGTACCCTTTTGCTCTCCTGTAGGGCATCATATTTAGAATATCTTGATATCCATTTTTAACAACCTTTTGATTAGTTGGTAAAAAATGTTGATTTGTAAGTCCCATTTTTATCACATGGAACGATGGATGCATATATTCAAGAACGGGATCCCATTCCATGGTTGCTGAATGGAATCTGATATATATATTTGTTGTCTTAACGACTTCAGTATATCTTTCAACAGCTTTCCTGATGTTGGCTGGAAGCTGAGATATCTCTTTGAGATCTTTGCTAGAATATATACAAAGTATATTTCCTATCTCAAAACAATTTCGAACCCAGTTGGCTGGTGCTCCTGGATAAAAATTTATCTTGTTGTATTTTGAATGGTAGAGAGCCTTCATCCACTTTCCAATCTCCAGATACAAATCTGATAAAATATTGAAAATAACAATAAAGAGTGTTACTTCTTCATAGTTATCTTTTTTGGGAATTTTTGCTTCATGGCATATCTTGACAATATCTTTTGGATCTATCCTTTCAATAGAAAGTTTAGATTGAGTTTGGCTACGTGAAGAGCTACCTTCTCTTTTGATATCTTGAATATCTTTATTACCAGTAATATGTTCAAATTTTCCCTGTGAAGGGGTTCCTATTACCTTCTTTTCTTTCCCTTTATCCTCGGGGAGAGCGCTAGTATTCACAAGTCCCTGCGAAGGGATACTAGATTTGGTACAAGTAACTTCTGCCTCAAGAGCTATATTTTTGCCTCGAAGGATATCTTGGATATTTTGAATTTGTGTTTCCAAATAGGAAACTTTTATCTCAAGTATTTGGACTTTCGTCCTTAATTGTTCTAGCTTCATCCCTGCTAAGATAATCAGGAAGAAAGTTAATTTTACATTTTATGTATTCAATATCAAATTTGAAATATGAAAACCAAATTTGTATCCTAATAATATATCTATTTGCAATAGAAGGATCAACATTATTTTTTAAAAAGGCTTTAACTTGAGTATTATCAGTTCTAATCAAGAACTTCTTTGGTAATAAATAATCTTCATATTTTTGAACTCCTCTTTTAACGATAATGAGTTCTTTTCTATTCGTCTCATATCTTATTTCAACTTCTTTGAATGTTCCTAATGTATAACCTGCAAGTATCTCAGGATAAAAACAATCTTTTTCACATTTATATTCTTTATGATTCTTTTTTACCTTTAACACTGCTCCTCAGTAATAATCTGAAGCATCAGTTTCAAGGATAAAGAAATCTTCTTCTTGTGGTATTACAAGTTTGGGCAATACCTTTAACTCTTCTTTTACTCTCCTTATATTTTCACAATCTTGTTCTTCCCAAGACCACGTTATATTTTTTCTTAATTTTGGAAGAAAATAATTTTTTAATTTGGCACAATTTTCAATGAATCCTTCAGCATAATTTAATATACTAAGGAAGCTTTGTAATTTTTTTTTATCTTTGATTTCTTTAGGAAATTCTTGAAACTTTTCTCCAATTTGAGATTGCAATTGCAATTCTCTTTCTTTTATAAATAATCCTAAAAATTATATCTCTGTTTTAGCTATCTCAGCTTTCTTTTGAAAAAGTGTAATACCATGTTTTTTCATAATATAACAAAATTTCTCAAGATGTTCAATATGTTCATCAATATTATTTGAATGAATAAGTAAATCATCTACATATGCAATACAGAAATGAGTAATTGGTTTGATTACCTCATCCATCCTTCTTTGGAATATCTGTGACGCATTTTTCAACCCAAATGACATTACATTCCATTCGTATTGTCCTAAAGGATTGGGAATACTAAATGCAGTTAGTGGTTTACTTTCTTTTGTAAGCATGATTTGCCAAAATCCTGACTTACAGTCAAATTTTGAAAATATCTTTTTGTTTTGTACTTGTTTAATAAGGGTGTCCTTATTTGGCAAGTAGTATCCATCAAATTTAGTAACTTCATTTAATTTTTTGTCATTTATCACCATTCTGGTTTTTTCTCTTTTTATCTCACTATGTTTTCTAACCATAAAGGTTGGGCTGCTATATGGACTTTTACTAGACCTAATTAACTTGGCTTCTAGTAATTCTTTTTTCTGATCTTTAAATTTCTTTTGATCATCAACACTATATTTCATGGGTTTGACTCTAACAATAGTGTATGGATTGGTTAATTCTATTTTTGCCTTTACTTTGTCTGTATTCCATTTTTCTAATGGATTTTCAGAATATGTTTCAGAAATTTCTTTTTTCAGTTTTTCAATCATATTTTCTGTTGTCATTTTTAACACTGTAATTGGTTTAAATTTTTCTGTACTCCAACATTCACCACGCTGGGTTGAAGAACTCTGATGGTTTATATCTGTATATGCAATTGTA